AAATGTGCAAAAATCAAGCTTATTTGCAGTGTATAAATTGTTGCACTTAGAAAGATTGCAACTCCAGTGACTTACAAAAATTTCAAAACAGATAACTACTTAACGAGCCTTATCTTCTGTGTCAGTAATAGCAGCTATTTCGGCTAATAAGTCGACCCAGTCAACAGCAGCGATTGCCCTGCGATGAGCAATTTGAGGTAATTCATCAATCGCAGCCATTCGGTAAGGTTCATTTCGCACCTGAAATTTCTTTCAAGTTCTCTTTCATAAGTTGCGTCCTGAAATTTGTCACTTTTAAAACAACGAAAGTAACTGTTTATCAGTGCTCTGCCAATTCCATAAAAGGTCGCCTTTTTAAAAATTTTATTCCATAAAAGTTCTGCACCAAATAGTTACTTCTGGCTTTGAAAATAGAAAACACTCGACTAGGCGACGAAATGAATAAGTTATTTTGGAACATTTTAAGAAAAACTGGACCTTTACTCAAAACTCTTTGTCTCGTAATAATGGACTGCCATATTGCCGTAATAATGGACTGCCATATTGCCGCCACACTTTATCGTGTTTTCAACTAGCCATGAGAAAAAGCGATCCCAAATTTTTTTTTACCATTTCTATCATAATGCTGGCATATCTAAGATTTAATCGTACACTACAGTCAGTCTTCAGAAGAAGGTACCATCCGCAAACTTGCCGATTCGGTGGTCGCAGCTGTTTAAGATATTACCGCTCCCGAACAATTCAGACGATTTGTAGAAGTTACTTGCTACGACCTAGGGACAGTCTGGCAACAAACACCTAATCCAGACACTTTTGTACTGTTACGTCGCTGTTTTCTGATTATAAAAAGTGCAGGTTTTGAATTCTGGACGCGATGGATATTCAGCAAAGGCATTTGCTCTTTCGATCTTTTTGCTCCCGCCCTCGAATCCCTCACATTGGCTGTGCTAAATATTCTAATTGTAATGTGACAATTTCTGTAATTTCTCAAAATATTTTGATATTTTTAACCAGATGGGGGATGAGCGAAGGTCGGTGGTCGGGGAGAAAGAGAACAGCGAGAAGATAATTGGGACTGAAAGTGGAATGCACAGGAATATAAAAAGGAAAAATTGTAACCTCAGCTCGTCGGCCGTCCAAAATTGGCTTCTGTTCAAACAGCTCACGAAGGGAAACGTTCTTAGTCGCGTCACTGCTTTCATTTCGAGCAAGCACTGTTTCATCGCCCTTGGTAACTTTAGATTCGATATTCATTAGCTGCACCAGCAACAAGCGCGATTCGACGGGTAGCTTTCGTGACCAGTCGTCACCTTGCATTCGCATCTA